AAGAGACACTGACGAAACTCGTCGCTATCCCCGTTCAGTTACATCCTCTTCCAGGGAGGGGGTCCATCGTGTCTTTTTGTGACGAGCCTCAGAGAAAAAATTGTATCAGACCTGCGAAGACGGGTAGATGCGGACTTGATGTTCAGTTTCACCCCTTCCACTCGTGAGCCGACTCTTACTCGAAGAAGGCGCGTCGCCGCAGCCCAAGGGAGCTGCTTTCGAGCGTTGACAACAGATGGACCTCCCTAAGGGAAGAATATTGACGAATGCAGACTGAATGGGAAGCATCGTTGAGGGACGCACAGCTCACATCATCTGATTTAGCCGACGAAGTTTGGCATCTTTGGCTAGCGTCTGAAGAAAATGAAGGAGCCGCCCATGGTGGCTCAGCCGCTGCGGGGTGTAGGGAGAAGTCACCTGTGCATCTCGGCGCGCTTAGGTTCATAGTTGACACAGGCTGTGTGGTCTCGTGGGGGCTTCGGACGTGCACGCAAGCATCGTGGTGTACACATTCACTTTTTTGCACCAGAGCTGTGGTCCACACGTATGGTGCTGAAGCAGCAACCGTGGTGCACATAAGCCTCGCAGTGTACACAGGCATTGTGGTGTACATGGCGTTGTTGTACACGGCTGCTGTAGTGTACTTAGACATGATGGTATACGCAAGCATTTTTGCAGACGTGCGCTGCGGTGTACATGCGCAGGTCCGGTGTGCAAAAGGCGTCGTGGTTTACACTGTGCAGGCACTGTGGTGTACACAGACATGGTCGGCCCCAAACGGGGGAATCGTATCCCGGGCCAGAACGTCAATAATCACAGATAAATTACATATAGAATTTTATACGGTCGGGCCCTTGACGATTTTTCAGATTTGGGTCCCGTGGGACCTTGGCGGTGCCCAGGATCACTGTGGCGCAAATGTTCACCGTGCGTTGTGCTGCACGCGGCTCCTGTTGTGTGCGCAAGCATCGGCATTTGCACAGGCGCTGTGGTGAACGCGGCTGCTGTATTGTACACGTGCGTTGTGGTGAACACAGGCATTGTTGTGGAAACAGGCGCTGCGGTGAACACGAGCATCTGTTTTGTTCCCCACATCCTGAGTGGGGTTCTTGTTCCCCACATCCTGAGTGGGGCTCTTGTTTTCCCGGAACATCCTCTCCTTCTCCCTCCCGCCTCCCGCCTCCCATATCAATACCCACCCCTCCATGGAGGCCCCGCCTGAGCGAGAAGGGTATCGGAAACCCATACTATTTACATGGTTTCTTGCCCTTCCCTCCTCTCCAGGGAGGCCCCGCCTGAGCGAGGAGGGTATCGGAAACCCATACTATCTACATGGTTCGGTGCCCCTCCCACCCCTCCGGGGAGGCCACGCCTGAACGAGAAGGGTATCGGAAACCCATACGATTTACATGGCTTCGTGCCCTTCCCACCCCTCCAGGGGGGCCCCGCCTGAGCGAGAAGGGTACCGGAAACCCATACTATTTACATGGTTTCGTGACCCTCCCCCCCTCCAGGGAGGCCCCGCTTGAGCGAGGAGGGTATCGGAAACCTGTACTATTTACATGGTTTCGTGCCCCTCCCACCCCTCCAGGGAAGCCCCCCCGCCCGAGCGAGGAGGGTATCGGAAACCAATGCTATTTACATGGTTTGGTGCTCCTCCCACCCCTCCAGAGTGGCCCGCCTAAGCGAGGAGGGTATCGGAAACCCATATTATTTACATGGTTTCGTGCCCTTTCCACCTCTCCAGGGAGGCCCCGCCTGACCGAGGAGGGTATCGGAAACCCATATTATTTGCATGGTTTCGTGCCCCTCCCTCCTCTCCAGGGAGGCCCCGCCTGAGCGAGGAGGGTATCGGAAACCCACACTATTTACATGGTTTCGTGCCCCTCCCACCCCTCTGGGGAAGCCCCGCCTGAGCGAGTAGGGTATCGGAAACCCATACTATTTACATGGTTTCGTTCTCCTCCCACCCCTCCAGAGAGGCGCCGCCTGAGCGAGGAGGGTATCCGAAACCCTTACTATTTACATGGTTTCGTGCCCCTCCCACCCCTCCAGGGAGGCCCCGCCTGAGCGATGAGGGTATCGGAAACCAATACTATTTACATGGTTTCGTGCCCCTCCCTCCCCTCCACGGAGGCCCCGCCTGAGCGAGGAGGGTATCGGAAACCAATGATATTTACATGGTTTGGTGCTCCTCCCACCCCTCCAGGGAGGCCCCGCCTGAGCGAGGAGGGTATCGGAAACCTATTCTATTCACATGGTTTCGTGCCCTTCCCCTCTCTCCAGGGAGGCCCCGCCTGAGCGAGGAGGGTATCGGAAACCCATACTATTTACAAGGCTTCGTGTCCTGAGCACCGGTCCTCCCTCCATTCTTTCGTCTGCCCTTTCGTGCGTACTTACTCGTTCGATGAACTTCTCCTTCGTGTTGATGTTGTCGTACCCCATGGGTCCCACGAGACCGTTAATATCTTTATGTGGGGAACTCCGTTAGCATAATTTTCCCAGAACATCCTCTCCCTCTCCCTCCCGCTTCCCGCCTCCCATATCAATACCATGCCTACCATTCCAGCCTCCATATCATACCATGCCTACCATACCATACCATACCATACCTACCATACCATACCATACCCTCCAGGGACTGAGCGAGGAGGGTATCGGGAACCCATACTATTTACATGGTTTCGTGCCCTTCCCATTCCAGGGAGGCCCCGCCTGAGCGAGGAGGGTATCGGAAACCCATAATTTTTTCAAGGTTTCGTGCCCCTCCCACCCCTCCAGGGAGGCCCCGCCTGTGCGAGGAGGGTATCGGAAACCTGTACTATTTACATGGTTTCGTGCCCCTCCCACCCCTCCAGGGAAGCCCCCCCGCCCGAGCGAGGAGGGTATCGGAAACCCATATTATTTACATGGTTTCGTGCCCATCCCTCCCCTCCAGGGAGGCCCCGCCTGAGCGAGTAGGGTATCGGAAACCTATATTATTTACATGGTCTCGTTCTCCTCCCACCCCTCCAGAGAGGCCCCGCCTGAGCGAGGAGGGTGTCGGATACCCATACTATTTACATGGTTTCGTGCTCCTCCCACCCCTCCAGGGAGGCCCCGCCTGAGCGAGGAGGGTATCGGAAACCCATATTATTTACATGGTTTCATGCCCCTCCCATCCCTCCAGGGAGGCCCCGCCTGAGCGAGGAGGGTATCGGAAACCAATGCTATTTACATGGTTTGGTGCTCCTCCCACCCCTCCAGAGTGGCCCCGCCTGAGCGAGGAGGGTATCGGAAACCCATACTATTTACATGGTTTCGTGCCCTTCCCCTCTCTCCAGGGAGGCCCCGCCTGAGCGAGGAGGGTATCCGAAACCCTTACTATTTACATGGTTTCGTGCCCCTCCCACCCCTCCAGGGAGGCCCCGCCTGAGCGAGGAGGGTATCGGAAACCCATGCTATTTACATGGTTTCGTGACCCTCCCCCCTTCCAGCGAGGCCCCGCTTGAGCGAGGAGGGTATCAAGAAACCGTACTATTTACAAGGCTTCGTTTCCTGAGCACCTGTCCTCCCTCCGCCTTTCTTTCGTCTGCCCTTTCGTGCGTACTTACTCGTTCGATGAACTTCTCCTTCGTGTTGATGTTGTCGTACCTCATGGGTCCCACGAAACCGTTAATATCTTTATGTGGGGAACTCCGTTAGTCTAATTCAAAATCGCCGTGGTGTGGTGTATATTATGCAGGCACTGTGGTGTACACAGACATGGTCGCCTCCAATCGCGGGCGGGGACCGTACCCAGGGCCAGAAAATACAATATTCACAACGATTTGCATCTTGGTAGAATTTGATGCGGTCGGGCCCTTGGCGATTTTCCAGATTTGGGTCTCGTCGGGTCCTTGGTGTACACGGAAGCGCTGTGGCGGAAATGTTCGCCACGCGCTGTGCTGCACGCGGCTCCTGTGGTGTGCACAAGCATCGGGGTGTACACCGGAGCTGTGGTGCAAGCGGAAGCTGCGGCTGCAGCAGTCGCCTGTGGTGTACAAGAGCGTTGTGGCGCACGCGTTCTTTGTAATGTTCACAGGCATTTTGGTGCACGCGTGCGTTCTAGTTTACACACGATTTCGCGGTTATCATCAGCAGTCCCATTCCGCGTATCCCAATGTTAGTTGTCTGAACATATCCTCAGGCATACTCAGACGGCGCCAGCGTCGTCGCAGCACTGATAGCAGTATGGTCGCAGCATCATTCGCAACTGTAGGGACCGCAGCTCCAGTGCGCGCGGGCATATGCAGGGCTTTCCACAGCGCGAAGGTTAGGTTATCGGCTGGTCCCTACCCCCGGATAGCCCGGGTAACCGCCGATTCCAAAAAACACTCCTCCTCTTCCCTCTCCTCTTCTCCTCCTCCTCTCGCCTCCTACCCTCTCCTCTCCCTTCTCTCCCTCCTCCTCCGCTCGCACGGGTGCTCCCCTCTGTCTTTTCTTGTCTTGTCTTGCTCTCTCCGTCGGTCTGGCCTCCAATCCTTGCTGCTGCTGTTGCTCACCCCGTCTGGCTCAGAGGTATTGAACTCCTCGCAAGCTGGCTTTGCACGCCGCTAGGCTTGGACGCGTCGGCCACCGCCACTGTCGCTGTCGCCGTCATCCGAGTCGGTGGCCCTGACGAGGGGGTGATGGCGGCAGTGGCAGTGCCGAAACGGGCCCAAAGTCCAGCAAGGCATGAGGGTGCAACTCGACTTGTCTGGCTGATGCTCTGGGGGGGCCTGTGCTCAGGGGATGCTGCAGCACCGCTTAACGAAGTGCTTTCAACCAAACCTGCAGGGTGGGCCCTTTCCATATCTCTGTGCACTTCAGGCTTGGCTTCGGCTTCAGCCGATGCACCGTCAACCGCCTTCGGGCCAGCTCAGCTCACCCGAGTCGGATTTTCCGCTCGCACGCCCCTTGCTCTCTTCCTCTCCCTCTGGCCTCCTCCTCCCCTCTGCTCTCCTTCCTCGAGGTTCCCCCCCCCACCCTCGGGTCACGAGGCCACTCTGCGGGTGCTGTCTGGCGCCGAGAGCGGCACCGAGGGCAGCCCCGAGTGCTCCGTGTGCCTGGAGCCGCTGAGCCCAGCGGGCGCGGCGGTGCTGCCATGCGCCCACGCCTTCCACACTGGGCGCCGGGGCGGAAGGAAACGGGGGGGACTTTCCCCACCCCTCGCGTCGTGAGGCAGTAGCGACGGACGTGTTTTAATTCCCCACATGTTTCGTGGGGTGCTGGCTTTCTTCCCTGCCGCGTCGCACCCGCGTCTCACACCCGCACACACCTCCCACCCGCACACACCTCCCACACCTCCCTCTCCCGCAAAGCGTGCAAGACGTGACATACATACATGCACACATAGGCACACCGACACAGACACGTACACACAGACACACAGACACACACACACTGACACAAACACACATACACACATACACTCCCTTACCCACGCGCAACACCTGCACGGCACGTACATGAGACGCTATCCGAGACGGTCGTCCAGGGCATAGCAGGAGTGGCACTTTCTCGACACCATAGGCGCTGCGTAGGGGGTGGTCCCTGAGCGCGGCCGCCATCCGAGACGGTCGTCCAGGGCATAGCAGGCGTGGCACTTTCTCGACACCGTACGGGGTGCGCAGGGGGTGGTCCCTGAGCGCGGCCGCTATCCGAGCCGGTCGTCCAGGGCATAGCAGGCGTGGCACTTTCTCGACACCATAGGGGGTGCGCAGGAGGTGGTCCCTGAGCGCGGCCGCTATCCGAGCCAGTCGTCCAGGGCATAGCAGGCGTGGCACTTTCTCGACACCGTACGGGGTGCGCAGGAGGTGGTCCCTGAGCGCCGCCGCTTTCCGAGCCGGTCGTCCAGGGCATAGCAGGCGTGGCACTGTCTCGACACCGTAGGGGGTGCGCAGGAGGTGGTCCCTGAGCGCGGCCGCTATCCGAGTCTGTCCGAGCCCGTCGTCCAGGGCATAGCAGGCGTGGCACTTTCTCGACACCATGGGGGTGCGCAGGAGGTGGTCCCTGAGCGCGGCCGCTTTCCGAGCCGGTCGTCCAGGGCATAGCAGGCGTGACACTTTCTCGACACCGTAGGGGGTGTGCAGGAGGTGGTCCCTGAGCGCGGCCGCTATCCAAGCACGTCGTCCAGGGCATAGCAGGCGTGGCATTTCCGACACCGTAGGGGGTGCGCAGGGGGTGGTCCCTGAGCGCGGCCGCTATCCGAGCCGGTCGTCCAGGGCATAGCAGGAGTGGCATTTCCCGACACCGTAGGGGGTGCGCAGGAGGTGGTCCCTGAGCGCGGCCGCTATTCGAGCCCGTCGTCCAGGGCATAGCAGGAGTGGCACTTTCTCGACACCGTAGGAGGTGCGCAGGGGGTGGTCCCTGAGCGCGGCCGCTATCCGAGCCGGTCGTCCAGGGCATAGCAGGCGTGGCACTTTCTCGACACCATAGGGGGTGCGAAGGAGTATATCAGTGGCGAGGGGGAGAGGACGAGGAAGAGGAGGAGGAGGAGGAGGAGGAGGAGGAGGAGGGGGAGGAGGAGGCTATCATCACTCCAGCCATAATGTAAGTATGTGGGGTTCCTCGGTAGCGTAATTCTTATGTTAGGTCCCCAGGGGCCCTTGCCGGGCCCCGGGACCGTCAAACAACGACTCAGGATGAAGAGCAGGCCCTCACCGAGCAGTGCCTACTCGCAAACGCCAGAACAAAAAAAAACATGCGAGCCCCGAGGTCATGGATCGTAGGTCCCTCGAGGCGGATCCAGGCCTTCTGCGAGCAGTCACTCTGCGAGCAGTGGAAGGCGCTTGTCTAGGTCCCAGGGGACTGGTCCAGGCCTTCGGAGACCCATTCACCACCCATCAAACCACCCCAACCCAATCCGAAGGTCTCAATTTGACCTCCATTTCCAGTGGGGGGGCTCAAAGAACATTGAAAAACATATGTGGAACCTGTGCCCTCCCCAACCCGAAGTTCGGGCGAGATTCGGGTCTTCGGGTTGGGTTTGGATGGTCTCAGAGCAGGAAAAACATAAACACAAAGGGTTTTATTGGTTTTACGCCGGAAGGGGGCGTCGTTGAGAGGGTACCTGGCACGGATGCGGGGATCGGTGTGGCGTCGGTCTTTGGAGCTGGCGGTTTGCGTGGCAAGTGCGTTTAGCTGGTCACATGTGTTCGGAACGCGTGACGGGTGGAAAGACCGCTCACCAGCAACTGGCAGTCCTCTGCCCGCGGGCCAAAATAAATCGTCGCGCGTTCGCAACGGGGTGTGGGAAGGGGGGTTGGGAAGAGAGCGCGAGTCTCATTCCCCAAAAAACCATCCGATAGGCAGCAAACAGTCCTATTTCTATTCATCTGCCGCACGGCCAACCGAACGAACGAACAACTGTCTCGGCGCACTGTGTTAACTTCGCTTGCGCGCATCCTGGCTTCCTTCCGTTGCTTCCTTCGCTTCTTTTGCCGAAATCGCGCTGGCAGCTGGCCAGCCACATCGCCGGCCCTGCATGCCCGCGCGCGCTACTGCGTTTTGTTGCCGCCACGCGTGCTGCTGTCAACGGATGAACAAGCTGACGTTGCACGGTGGTTTGGCTGTGCCGAACCACCATGGAATGTTAGTTGGTCGCGGATTCGGGGATATTGTCGCCGCCGACAGCCTTGCCACACCATGCATGTCAACTGCATCCTAGAGCGCGGCCGTGCATAAACCCTGGTTCGGATCGCTGGGGGTTCACTCGCATGTGTGCACATGCGTTGCACCGTTGGTGGTGCCAAAACCCTTTGTGTGACATTCTTTTGTGTGTGTGTGTGTGTGTGTGTGTGTTTTTCCGGCTCCTATGGTTTGGGTACGGAGCCAGCCTGCTGCGTGCAGCTGGTTTCGGTTCCGCCGCCGGGCATGTCCTTCGACACGAGGAGCGACGCAAAACCAGTCAAGCAGTGGCCAAGCGTCCTGGCTCGCCTGGAGGCCCACCAAAGAATGTTCTAAACACTTTTTGTGGTCTGCACGACATGTTATTCGACCATTTCTGGCCGAGACTGTCTTGTTTTCAGACATGGGTGTATGTTCAAAGAATATCGTTTCTGTTCTTAGAGCATTGTTGGGTTCTAACAATTTGTCGTGGTAGGCCTATAGGAATGCTGGGACGGTCGATCCCTGCTCAAAGGGGGTCGACTGCGCAGACATTGGCGCGCGAGCTGCTCGCGGAAGGTCTCGCGTAAGCGCCCTCGCTTCCAGTGCAGCGTTCCGCGCTGGCGGCCCGCGTAAGCCGCCGCGCAAAGTCGCTGTGCCATCTCGCGTAAGACCCTTTTGGGTCATCGTTCGCCTGGGCGCCTTCCAGCGCTGCCGAAGCCGGCTGAGCGTGAACGGATTCGCTGGCACAGCCCTGGCTCCCCGCCCCGTGGCGCCCGGGCAGGGAGAGGCACCGATGCCAAGAGGCCCGCCGCTCCTCACCACGGCAGGGTATCGCCCTGAAGGGCAGACAGGTCGGGGGCGCGCCCCAGGGCGAGGCCCTAGGAGTGGTGGCGTCGGTACATCGGCGATGCGATCCTCCGACCCCATCTGCCCGGACCCCATCTGGGAGGCCACTCTTCTTGCTTGCGCGTCGCTCCGAGGAGGAGCCGATAGCGATGTCGCTACCCGCGACACGGCTGGACTCACATCGATATTCCGGTCAGAACGCACCCTAGGGAGGCCCAGAGAGCACAGTCGGACCGAGGTTTAAGATCCAGGTCGGTTCGGCGAGGGAAGCCCTAGTGTTCTTCGTTGTAGTTGGATATTATTGTGCGTCCTCGGGAGGGAACCCTTGGACGTTGTGTGTGTGTGTGTGTGTGTGTGTGTGTGAGTGTGCGTGTGTGTGTGTGTGTGTGTGTGTGTGTGTGTGTTCTGGCCGACTTGGGGTCTCGTGTTCTTCAAGGGAGGTATTCTGATCTAGGTCCGACTGTACCCTTTTCCCCAGTTCGGCTTGCCCCAGGGTGTCTTATTTCAGCGACGGAAGAAGTCGAGGTCGACTGCGCCGACATTCGCGCGCAAGCTGCCTGCGTAGGATGGCGCGTGATCGTGCTCGTTTCCAATGCAGCGTGCCGTGCTGGCGGTGGGCGTAAACTATCGCGTGAGGCCGCCAAGGCAGAAAGACAATTTCAAAGCAATCGCTGCCGACGTCGAAATCGAGTTCTTTTGCCAAGCAAAGCGATGGTCCACCCCTCTCCTGAGAGTATCGGGTTCGCGCCAAAATGCTGCAATGCCGTCTCGCGTAACACCTGCGTCTTTTCGCCGCCCGCTGGCTGGCGAAACGAACCGGTGGGTGCCGAGCCCTTCCCTGCCGGCCTCGCCCGGGGTGCTCGCCAGGGGCTGCTCGTGGCTGCCCGTGGCTGCCTTTCGCGCTGCTTGGCATTGCCTCGCGTTGCTTGGCGTTGCTTGGCGTTGCTTGGCATGCGGCCCCCAAGGCGTTGCTCGGGGCTGCTGGGGCTGCTTGGCGTCGCCTGGCATTGCTCGGATGCCAAGCGAAGCCAAGCAACGCCCAGCAACGCCCAAAGCAGCACCAACAGCAAGCTAAGCCACATAGGCCCAGCAGCGCCCAACCATGCCAGAAGCAACGCCAAAAGCAATGCCCGGCAACGTGCGGGCGTTCCCGGGGCTGCCCCGAGGTACCGTCCTCGTGATTTTAGTTGCCATTCGTGGCGCCGAGGCGGGCGCGAGTTGCGACGATGCGCCTGGCATCGGGTCTCGCTGGCAAAAAAACGTCCAGCAACGCCTCAGCGATTCCCGGCACCGCCCCGAAGGTGCTGCTTCGCCCTGCTGGCCGGGCAGGGCCCGGGCGCGTGCCCCGCCTGCCGGGCGCCCTTCGGGCGCGCCGACGTCGCGCCCGTGGGCGCCGCCGAGGGCCCCGCGCCCTGCAGGGAGGCGGAGCTCCACGGCTCCAAGCTGGCCGCGGTCGGCCAGGCTCGACGGCAGCGGCGGCGGCGACGAGGACGACGACGAGGACGACGACGAGGACGACGAGGACGACGAGGACGACGACGACGACGACGACGAGAACGGCGGCGACGACGACGACGACGACGACCACGACGACGACGACGGCGGCGACGACGGCGACGGCGACGGCGACGACGATGACGGCGACGACGACGACGAGGGCGACGACAACGAGGACGAGGACGAGGACGACGAGGACGAGGACGAGGACGACGAGGACGACGACGAGGGCGACGACGAGGGCGACGACGAGGCTCGGTGGCCCGCCCACCTAGACCTCCAACGTATTGAAGAGCACGAGTCGGCATGGACAGAAGCTTTCGTGGATCTCAGAAATCGCAAAATCGTCAGCATCGATCGTAAGATAAACCGTAAGCATCGATGCTCATTCTTTCGCGGAGCTCGGAATCGGTATAAACATGAGATCACACATCTTGAAAACGAGCAAACGTCGGAGCTCCGCGTGGATTTGTTAGGTCTGCGCTGGGCCCCCCGTCCCTGGCGCGGAGCGCGCCAGGGGCAGCGCCAGCGGCGCCGCCAAGGAGGGAGGGGGCCCAGTTCAGATCCAAGAAATCCACGCCGAGCTCCGAGAGGTTTTGTTGTTTGCAGCTTTTCTTCCTCCAACGCCATTTTCGGTTTCAATGCATCGGAGTTCTGTCATGGGCACTGGGGAACGCATGCACAGGGGGACCCAGACATTACCCCCGATCTCAGCCTCGATGTCTGTTCATGGGAGCCTTGGGCGGCGACACTCATATCAGCTTTTCCTGAATTTGGACCGCATCTCAGGGTCCGTGTCGATCCGATCGATCCGATTCGATGTCGATTCTGGCCAGCTCGATGCGGTTCGATGCCGAGATCCAATCCGATTCGGCCCCATGTTTGTATGGCGCTGATGCGCATTTTGGCGTGGCCGTTCCGATTCGGTTTCGGTTTTGATTTCCCCCCAAAACTTCTCTTCGATGTCTGTTCATGGGAGCCTTGGGCGGTGACATTGAGGCAGCCTGCGTTTGGACGCATGTGGACATCATCTGGCCCTTTTTTCTGCTCCTTCTCGCCATTCCTGTTCCTCGTCGCCCTACTCGTTCTTCTCGTCTCCCTTGTGAAGTGGCGAATATTGTCCAAATCTGGTCCCAAATGCGATCAAGATCCGATCCAAAGTAAGTCCCAAATTGGACATCGCCGGGGGCCACGTAGGCTCCGATGGAACAGACACCCAGTTCCTCTCGTCGCGAAAAACCAGCAAGATGGAAGGTTTTGGTAATTTGTAATAGTTGGCTTCGGGGGCCCTCACCAGTCTCCGGGACAGTTAATAACCCACTCGGGATGAAATAGTGTCCCGGGGAAGGGGTCCAGGTCTCAGGTCTCCACCCTGTGAAAAATCAGAAGGCCAGAGACCTGGGTTCGAAGATCAGATTTTTCAACCTGGGTGATTCTCTTGGATCTCGGCCTCATCGGGCCCCGTGGCAATCAGACACGGATCCAGGACGAAAACCCGCCCCAGGGGAAGGCCCGAACCTCTGAGGCCGCGGATTCAAAGCATCATGTTGTCGGATGTCTGGGAAGGCAGGATGGGGCCCTGGGATCCGGGCGTCGTTTTTTTCCACACCGGGCGATGTTGCCCGGTCTCGAGCCCCAGGGCCCGCACACATCGATCTGGCTCGAGGAGTGCCACGGAAGAAAAGGGTCCGGGGCTCTCGGCGTGATGTTTGGCGATGCTTTGTCTTTGTTCGCGACGTCGGCTCGCAGGCGAATGCAAGTGTTAAGTCGGGCGTGTCCCTCTACCGTAGGAATAGGCAAAAAGTAATCACAACATGGACTGGGGACGATTTTCCTGCTTTTTGTTGTTGTTGTTGTTGTTGTTGTTGTTGTTGTTGTTGTTGTTGTTGTTGTTGTTGTTGTTGTTGTTGTTGTTGTTGTTGTTGTTGTTGTTGTCGTTGTTGTTGTTGTTGTTGTTGTTGTTGTTGTTGTTGTAGTAGTAGTAGTAGTAGTAGTAGTAGTAGTAGTAGTAGTAGTAGTAGTAGTAGTAGTAGTAGTAGTAGTAGTAGTCGTATATTTTTGGATCATTTTTTCATTCTTCGTCCAAAATCCGCCCGTAGGGGGATATGCCCGACCTAATGCAAGCGGGGCCCCCGGGGCCGACCTTCCCAGAGGGCGGCGGAGCTGCTCAGAAGCCCTCCCGCCTTCGAGGAGCCTTCGAGTTCCCTCCGAGGCCGCAGGGGCCCTTCCTCGGAAGGCGGGAGGTCTCCTCTTCCCCCTCCTCCCTCCTCCTCCTCCCTCCTCCTCCTCCTCCTCCCTCCTCCTCCTCCTCCTCCTCCTCCTCCTCCTCCTCCTCCTCCTCCTCCTCCTCCTCCTCCTCCTCTCTCCTCTCCTCCTCCTCCTCCTCCTCCTCCTCCTCCTCCTCTCCTCCTCCTCCTCCTCCTCCTCCTCCTCCTCCTCCTCCTCCTCCTCCTCCTCCTCCTCCTCTCCCCTCCTCCTCCTCCCTCCTCCTCCTCCTCCTCCTCCTCCTCCTCCTCCCTCTCCCTCCTCCTCGTCCTCCTCGTCCTCCTCCTCCTCCTCCACCTCCCCCCTCCTCTCTGAGAGACTCCTCCTCCCTGGGCCCGCCGCCGCCAGGTGCTGCGGAAGATCCAGGGAGAGGATCCCATCGAAGAAGAACAGTCAGCACAGGCATAAAGTTTCGGAGGTTCTTTCGGGTGTCTTGGATCGGCGCTAGACCAAAGTCCTAAGCCGGGCGTGTCCCTCTACAGGAGGAATGTTCAAGAATAGTACAGGAATAGTCTGGGGATGATATCTTGATTATTTGTTTGCAATTTCTGGAGTATTATTTACTATTTTTCATTCCTCCAAAATCCGCCTGTAAGGGGACAGGCCCGACCTGAGCATACGGCAGGTTCGCGTCGTGTCGACCGGCGTCGACCCCGCCGGCGGCGTTCAACGTCGAACGCCGGCGGCGCCCCAGAATCGGTCGATGTTGAACGATTGAACGTTGCGGGAACGGCCGACCGTTCAAGGTTGAACGATCCACGCGGTGTCAGAAACCAACGGCGGGGTCGTCACGACGCGAACCTGCCGTAAATTCCCTTAGGTTCTTTCGGGTGTCTCGGATCGGCGCCAGAGGCCCTCCTGGCGGCGCCTCCTGCGTCGATCTGAGAAGTCCGCCCAGACCTCCGAGTGTTGGTTTAAGTTGTAAATCGGGCATGTCCCTCTACAGGGTGGATATACACAATTAGTCAACAAATAGTCTGGTGACTATTTTGTCGATATAACGCTGTACATGCCGAGGCCCTTCACGAGCAACACGACATAAGTGAAACATATGAAGTCCACCCGGAAGTCAGCACCTTCCAGGGGTGAAACCCTCCTCCTCCGCCTCCTCCTCTCCCGCCTCCACAGATTTCTCTGCGCCCTCCTCGCCCTTCTCGTCCTCCTCCCTGCATTCGCCCTCTGCCTCCTCCGTTTCTCCATCCCGGGCATCTGCGCGCTGCCCTCTGCTCTCGTCGTCCTCCTTTCTGCTGGCGGGGTCCGCCTGTGCGGGTGCCTCCCCGCCCCCTCTGCCTCCTCTCGCTGGGTGGGATCCGCCTGTGTGGGTGCCCCCACCCCGGTGGGACCCGCCTGTGCGGGTGCCCCCGCCCCAGCCTCTGCCTCCTCCTCCTCCTGCTCTGCCTCTCCCTCTGCCTCCTCGCCCCTCGTCGCGAGCCCTCTCCGCCTCCTCCCGTGGCGGCGCCTCCTGCGTCGATCCGAGAAGTCCGCCCAGACCCCCGAGCGTTGATTTGAGTCGGGCATTTCCCTCTACAGGGTGGATATACACAAGTAGTCAACGAATAGTCTGGTGACAATTTTGTCGACTGTTTTTGTTGAATCTGTTTTGACAATTTTCCCTACCTAGGCTCTGCCTAGACGGGTTCTTACCCTCTTGGCTTAAAGGAGCCGGGCAGTGGAAAACGCCCCGGGCGGTTCCCCCAGCATCCGCCCCGCGGTTCCCCCAGGATCCGCCCCGCGGTTCCCCCAGTTACGTCCCCTTAGCTTAACATTTAGCTTTAACTTTAGCTTTAGCATTCGCAATAGCATTAGCTTTAGCTTTAGCTTTAACTTAGCTTTAGCTGAGCGTTAGCTTAACCACAGCTTAGCTTTAGCTTAGATTTATCTTAGCTTTAGTTTAGCTTTAGCTTAACTTTAGCTTAGCTTTAGCTTAACCACATCTTAGCTTTAGCTTATATTTACATTAGCTTTAGTTTAGCTTTAGCTTTAGCTTTAGCTTTAGCTTCAGCTCAGCGTTAGCTTAGCTTTAGCTTATGTAGCTCAACTTTAGCTTAGCTTTAGCTTAGCTGTAGCTTAGCTTTAGCTTAGGTTTACCGTTACTACTAATGCTGGTTTCCTAGGGGCTCCAACTCCTAGATATGGTCGCACTGGGATAATTCCTTTTTTCGCCCCAAATCCGCATGTAGGAGGACATGCCCGACCTAAACGTTGATGTTGGTGCAGATTTTTCTTCTTCTGCCCCAGCGCCAAAGCGATCGTCTTCGTCCAGTGGGCCGACCTGGAGAAGCTCGTCGGGGCGGCCCTGAGCCGCATGGGCATCGAGCACGTCAGGCTGAGGGGGAGCACGGTCCAACGGAGCAGGGTGGTGGCGGCGTTCCAAGAGCAGGACGAGCCGCGTGTGCTCCTCCAGTCGATGGAGATTGGGGCCGTCGCCGTTGCGGTCAAAAGGCTGGCATCGTACAATAAGCGCATAGTGCTGATGAGCAACTCTTCAAGGTTATTCTTGCATCCTTGCCCCTTCGGCCCATCCTTGACGACTTCCGCTGGCCAACCCGCTCGCATTATCCTGGCGAAGGACCCAACCATACGCAGTTGTAAGTACCGTCGTTGTGTGTACCGCCTTCGGTGGATCTCCTGATGTGGCCAGTTTCGTGTGAGAGGTATATCGAAATGGGCTGGGGCCGCGATGCGGGCGCTGCCTTTGGTGCCTGAGGTGGAGCCCCCTTTGGGGCCACCAAACGTGTGAGTGGTGTGCCGAATGGGGGGCGGGTATGCCATGCGGACTGTGCCGCTGGGGCCTTCGGTGGAGCTCCCCATAGGACCACAAACCGTGTGATAGGTGTGCCGAACTGGTTGATAGGCGGAAGCAGAGGCAGAGGAGGCAGGAGGCGGAGGAGGTGAGGAACGCGGGGCGTTGTCTCTTCAAGACGAGGACCCAACACCACAGGATGGATGGTGGGGACAAAGTCGCAAACATGGCCCTCCAGGGCCGCTGCATCCTTACCGCGCATCCGTATTTTGCGTTTTGGATGTACGGGCCACTGGGCTCGGGGCGAGGAGGAGGAGGAGGAGGAGGAGGAGGAGGAGCAGGAGGAGGAGGAGGAGGAGGAGGAGGATTTTTGTTGTCCGTAGCCATTTTGGCTCAAGTCCGTAGCCGTTTTGGCACAGTTCCTGGCCTCACTGGCAAGGGGGAGCAGCGGCCCCCACAGTGCCCCTCGTTTGCCTGGTCAGACGAGGTTTTCCGCGTTTTGTGAGCTCCTGTCGGAGCAAGTACCTCCTGCTCTCCCTGTCACGTTCTCCGGCGCGACATGGATGGCAAAGGTGCTCACAATTGGGCGTGCACCAACGTACGGTGCGGCTACAAAGGCAATTTCCAGTGGCGGAGCAGCTGTCGCATCTGTGGCACTGAGCCCCACAAGCCGAAAGTCGCAACACAGCGTGCTCCCGCAGGCAGGTGGAAGGATGGGCCTCCTCGTTCCGCTCCTCCTGTTCCCGTCCTGTCCGAGGAGCCCGTTGCGGTGTATGCTAAGATGGATCTCGCAGACTATGCCATCGTGTCTCAAGGATGGTCTGCAAAGCAATTGGCTCGAGTTGCCGCGGCTCGCAGTCTTTCCAATTGTGATGTGCTTCCCACGGCTCGAGCTGCTCGCCAGGCGTCTGATGCCATTCAGCAGAAGCTCGAGCAGGTCCAGAGTAAGTACGACAAGGCAGCGGCTGCGGCGGCCAAAGCCATGCAGTATATGCAGCAGTGCGCCACCAACCTGGCCGAGTGCAAAGCCAAGGCAGACGAGGCCGCCAGCAAAGCTGCCGCTGCCTACGCAGCCGTCGGCGGCCGCGCAGCCACCGCCGCTGACCCGCTCGCGCAGCTGCAGTCCCTCGCCGCCTCCCTCTCAGACATGCTGCCTGACGCAGCTGCCGCGCTCAAGCCCATTGCTGACCTTGTCAAGCAGCAGATGGACAAGCAGCGCGCCGACGCGGAGGCCGAGGCTGTGCGGCAGCAGCAGCAGCAGCAGCAGCAACAGGAGCAGTCTCCTCCTGCTGGTGCTGGTGTGCCTGGTGTGCCAGATGCGGCCTTCTGGGAGCATTTCGGCAAGCCCGAGTTTTTCGACAGCTTCCTCAGGGCCCAGGGCATCCCAGTCAGTGGTGACGACGACGCCATGGGTGACGAGGAGGCCGACAACGATGATGGTGCCGACGAAGGGGGGCCCAATAAGGTCAAGGTCGGTCGCGCCCTCTACACCAGTCTCTTGCAGGCCATGCAGGACCACGCGGCTAAGAAGGCCAAGACGTCGGCAGCAGACTCGTCTTCCTAACACGTGGTCTTTTGTTACCGCCAACGTCTCAGGCCGTGCAGGGCTGGAGGCCATTCTCAATTCGCAGTCAGTCATCGACGCCGACGCCGTTGGCGTGCAGGAGCACCACTTCATCGAGTGCGCAGGTTGGGAGCAGAGGCGCCGACACATGGGCTGGAGGGCTTCGGCTACCGCAGCCAGAGCCACAGGGCAGGGAGGCACCGCAGGTGGCCTCCTTCAGATGGCGCAGCAGCGGCGCGGGCTTTCGCTGCTGATCGGTCAAGCTCCAGTTCTTGAGCCTGCGCGCATTGCAGTCAGGCACATGTCAGGAGTCGTGCCTGGGGGCATTCTATGGGCAGTAGTCTACATGCACGATTCGCAAGGTTTGTCAGCGCTCAATTGGGATTTGTTGTGCAAGCTGGGGGCGGTTATCAGGCAGTTCGGTATGCCGTGCATTCTTTCTGGAGATTGGAATCTGAGCCCAAACGAGCTGATGGGCTCTGGCTGGGTGGAGGCCGTCTCTGGACACATTCTATCCCATCAGTTAGCTACGTGCACGGGTGGAAAAGGCAGGGTACTGGACTACTTCATCGCCTCGGAGGGTCTGCAGTATCGTCACAAGCTCACTGTGCTCACCGATGTTGGCACCACGCCGCATTATCCAGTTCTTTTGTCTCTCGAGGGGCTGCGACAAGTCCCCGCGCTACCACAGTTTCGCGTACCTCGTATGTTCCCCCGCCAGCGGCCTCAAGGACCCATGCGAGAAAGCACCCGCTGGCAGTCAGTTACGGAGCTGGTGCTTGCACAGGTAGGCACTCAGGAGTTGTGGGAGAGTTTTGTGCACGCCATGGAGCTCGAGTTCGTTGACATCTACCAGAACAGCAGTGACGAGGCGCACCTGTACCAGGGTAGGGCCAAGCCTTTACAGCGCAAGCGTGCTGCTGCGCGCAGGCCGTCAGCCATGCCCGACCCGCGTCTCTCGCCCTTCGCCGCGTGGTGGAGGCTTGTGACGCAAGTCTTTACCGAGCTTGGCAGGTTTCAGTCCGCGTCGTATCGTCGCACCACCTTGTCGTTGTGTGAGGAGCTTGCCGAGCAAGGGAGCAAGTTCGCCGATGCCAGTGCGCAGCCTTGGGTCACTCTGCTCTGGACCGCCCCCCCTCGCTCTCCTGGGAGCTTTCGGCGGTGCTCGCCAACCTTGCGAGACAGCTCTCATCCAAGCATCAGCGCGCAGCTGAGCAGCACAGGGACTCCAGCTGGAAGAGTTGGGTCAGGTCTCACAGCAGTGCAGGCGGAGGAGCCCTTTTCAATCTCTCGAAGCCTCCCACCCCATGGCACAGCAGCCCCAATTTTAGACATGACGGCTCGCTGCTGCTAGCGCCAGCCAGTCAGGAGGAGGAGATGGAGCTTTTGGTTTCTGAGTGGGGGGCGTACTGGGAGGTGGGGTCCCTGGCCGATCCGCTTCTGTGGCCGTCGGATATGGGCCCTGAGCTACCTGATTTCGATCTGGGCGATCCCAAAGCGTGTCTCCGAAGCTTTCGAGCCAGCAGTGGCGCTGGCTATGATCAGATCTCGCCTCGTCAGTTGCTTGAGCTGCCAGACGAGGGCCCTGAGTGTTTTCGCCAGCTCATATTCACCAGTTTTCCCCTTCGACAGTTGCGTTTGTTGGCGAGCCTGTATCGGGCTCCGCGGGTCCTGGACCATGCTGGGGCCACCTCGGCCCCCATCCGCACCGAGAAAGCGGTGCTTCCAGGCTGTCTTTTTGCCACCCTCATGCTGCAGTTGGTGCTGCTCGCCCCGCTTGACACGGTGCAAGCAGCCTTCCCTCTTCGCACTGCTCGAGAGGTTCAGATTGGGGTGGTGGTGGATGACTCGGGGTTGCACAAGGTTGGATCCTCTGAGCAGGTGCGAGACACTCTGGTGCAAGCCACGCGTATGCTTCATCAAGAGTTGAACGCCGTGCATCTTCCAGTCAGCAAACCTAAGTCTCGCGTGCTCGCCGCCTGCCCTCAGCTTCGTTCGCAGTTAGCCCTTGCGCTCAACGCCGAGAGTGTGCTCGGCGTGCAGAGTGAGCGCAATCTAGGAATCGATTATGCTGCAGGAGGTGTGATCAAGAGACACACCACTTCAGAACGTTTCACTGCCGCGGAGGTGCGTCACAAAAAGATCCTCAGTATGTCTAGTAAGCTGTGTGAGAGGCGAGCGCATCACATGGTTCGTGCTGCCGTTCAGGCCTCCGCCACCTATGGGTCGGGGGTGTTGGGCAGCAACGGACGTGAGCTCGCGCAGGCTCGCCTTCATCAGGCTTCCGTGCAGTCGCAGAGGGTGGCAGGGCGTTCTATCACGCTCATGATGCAGCTGTCTGGCATTCCTCGCATCGGTCCTGCGTACCACCTCAACGTCTCTCCTCTCCTCTCTGTCGCCACCTCGCTCTGGGACGGGTGGGTTCCTAGAGGGGTGGTGGCGCAAGGCCTCGAAGGTGCGCGGCAGAAACTTCAAGAGCACGGCTCTCCTTGGCAGGCCATTCGGGGCCCCTTTTTAGCCGCCGTCGCCGCGGCAATGCGGCTCGGCATCAAGATGAACGGGCTCGAGTGGCAGCACCCTAGCGTGGGCGTTTTCTCGGTTGAAGCTTTTGTGTCCCCGCACGGTCAAAACTGCCCTTGAGACCGTCGTCGAGAGCTGGCTCTGGTGCAAGGTGGCCGACCACCTTCAGATGCCCGAGTTTATGCAAGGCCCTTTTTTTGGTTCCTGTCAAGGCTGGTATGTCCAAGCTTAGAGCGCGCGAAAAAGCCTATGTAGTCAGTGTAGTTTCAGGCGGCCAGTGGCCGCAAGACAGACAGTATCAGCTCGGTTTGTCGTCTCAGCAAGAGTGTCAGGTCTGCGCCTCAGGCCCAGGGGCCCTCTTGCACAGGCACGTTGGATGCGCTGCCCATCAGGACATGCTTGAGCTAGAGCAGGCGCCCCCAGCGTGCACGCAGGCCATGGTGGCAGCAGCAGGTAATCCTCTCGTTCGCCTCCTCCTCGAGAGGTTGCTTGTGCCGCTGCCTGCTCCTCCTCCTCCTCGACCCAACCCTCCCGAGGAACTTTGGCTTCTCGGGGCCCCCGATCAGCTCGGAGGAGATTGTTTTCTCGACGGGGGCCTCTTTGATTCCGAGCTCCCGCCCACCGCGCGCTCGCTTGGCTGGGCCATCGTTTCCTTGCACGATGATCCGAGCCTCCCCATATCTCGAGCGAAGCGCGCGGTGGTGGCGGGGGGGCTCCCAGCAGGTCACTTTGACATCGATGCGTGCGAGCTTTGAGCGTTTTTCATGAGCCTTAGGCAGGCCCTTCCCGACGCCGTCTTCTGGACCGACTCCAAGTTTGTTTTCCAGGGCGTCTGGGATCGAGGGCGGCAGATTTGTTGTTCGTCCAAAGCTGCGTGGGCCGACATCTGGAAGCTTGTCTGGCATGCCGTCGACGACAGAGGTGGTCTCGAGGCACTGCGCCTTAACAAGGTTAAGGCGCACGCCACTCGTGCCGACGTCGCCTCTGGTCGTCTCTCGGCCAGGGCTCAGGCGGGCAACGAGCTGGCTGACCATTATGCCAAGCAGGCCGCTGAATACAGCAGAGTCGCTCAGCAGTATCGTGACCTGTTCAAAAGTCAGTTTAAGGTTGTTTTTGCCCTGACCCGATGGGTTGGCGTGTGCGGGCCCCCCATGGCCGATTTGGACTGTTTGCACGTTCCTGTTTCCAAGCGTGTCAGGATCCCCAGGTCCGATGTGCCCAGGTTGCAAGTAATTCCTCCTCCTCCCGTGGTCTCGTCGGTTGAAAGTCGAGCCGATGTTGCGATCGCGGTCCTGAGGAGAGAGGGTCACGCCACTCATCGAGCCTTTCCCTTTACTCTCGCGGGGGGGAGGCGGGGGGTGGTGTGCGCCCAGTGTGGTGCTGGCGGTGTCACCGTTTCGAAGCAGTTTCGTGATCCGTGCCCGCCAGTGCCCTCTGTCTGGGGCAGCCGTGTCTTGCGAGGCCTTGAGCATGGCAAGTACAAGCAAGGGAAGGAGTGGATCCTCCTCACCGAAGCTTGGAATCCTGCCAGTCTGGAGAGAAGCGGTCAGGGCTTGGACCCAGGCCGCCCTCGGAGAGAGCACCCTGTCGCTGGCCCCTCGGCTGGATGGCGCCTCCAGTCGAGGGTGACAAAAAGGTCGTCCTGATGGGTGTTCTCCCGAGGTTTTTGTTCTACGGAGGCTTTGCTCCGTCGGGGCTCGTGGGGATCTCATGAGCGCCTACTGCGTGCGCAGGAGGAGGATTCTTGAGGAGGAGGAGGAAGAGAGGAGGGGATCCCTGTCGTGGCCGAGGTCGCCGTGTCCAGAAAAGGCGCTTTGGCTCTGCATTCCGCAGCCCCTGTGGTAGCACGATGACTGCACGGCAGGCTCGCGTCGCGTCGGCGCGGCGGCGACCCCGCCGCGGCCGCAAGGTTGAACGCCGCCGGTGGCCCAGAATCGGCGGATCTGGACCGATCTGGCTATCGAGAAGCCGCTAATCGTACAAGGTTGAACGGTCCGCGCAGTGTCTGAGACCAACGCAGAAGTCGCGACGACACAAGCCTGCCGAAGACCTCCATCCCCGCTGGGAAAGCCTTGGCCCCGCCGTCCGACGTACGTCCCTACCTGAGGAGCGAAACGACGTACGTGCACCCGAAGTTTTGTAGGCTTCGGGAGTACGCGTTGCCAGAACGTTGCTGACACGAGGCTGGCTTTGCGGACTGGGGGGCCAAATTCGTGTAAACTGCATGGCGCGTACCCTGACATCCGCCGATCAGATTTTTGTAATCTGCGGCCCCAGAGGTCACAACTTCTTTCCCAGGGGGGAGTTTTTCGACCCTGATTTGTTCTGGATTGTCCCGGGGCCCGATAACTGGCGCCAACGGCGTGCAATGGCACCGGCCCTGGCCCGGCCAGTCCCAGACCTGGGGCTGGCCCTGACAGGGGTGGTGCCTCGTCGGCGGTCATTCCCGGCGCCCCCCCCAATCATCGAGCAGTGGCGAAGCGTTCTGCCTTGCCTATAGGCCCACCAACGAGTGCTCTAAGAACCTTTTGTGGTCCGCACGGAGTGTTCTCATAACATTTCTGGCTGAGACTGTCTTGATTTGACACATAATTATCGGATTGATGTTCCAAGAGCGCTGTCTCTGTTCTGGGGACGATTTGGGGTTCTGAGGACATGTCGTGGTAGGCCTACAGGAATGCCAGCACGGTCGGTCCCCGTTCAAGTTAATGTTCTTCTCGTCGCGAAAACACGCCCTCACGCGCTCCAGGACCGTCTAACAAAGGCTCGGAATGCAAGACTGGTCCCATAGGGAAGGGATCTCCAGATCTTTGGGGGCCCACGTGGTGCGGAACTCACGACGCCAGATCTCTGGGCCCTCCCAGGAGAACTCCGCGTCGGGCGCGAACCTGACGCGAGCCAGCCACGTGCTGCTGGTGCATCCGATGCTGGCGGCGCGCGCGTGGATGCAGCGCGGGGGGCGGCCCTCTGAGAGAGCGTGGTCGGACTCCTCCTCCTCCTCCTCATCCTCCTCCTCCTCCTCCTCCTCCTCCTCCCCCTCCTCCTCCTCAGCCTCCTCTGCAGCTGGCACGTTCGGCGTCCTCAGGGGGAGCACAAAATCCTCCTCCCCCTCCTCCCCCTCCCCCATCCCCTTCCCCCCTCCCCCTCCTCCCGCTCCTCCTCCTCCGCGTCCGAGAGTGGGGGATTGGGAGGGGAGGCCCGCCGCCGGGCGTCTTTCCTCGGCACATGGGCGCCTGTTCCGTAAGGTTAGGTCGGGCATGCCTTCCTGCAGGCGGATTTTGGACCAAAGACAATAATAGTCAAACAGCTATAGACAGTTTTCAATTTAAATTTAAATTAGCTTCCAACTTGTTTAAAAGAACGTCAAAAACAAGCAACCACTGTTTCTGAGCATCCCTCCTGTAGAGGGGCATGCCCGACTTAACCGTGAGGTGATTCTCTAGCATCCCTTGACTCCTTGTGTGTCCGACCCGACTCTTGAGATGGCTATGCTCGCCGAAACTGTTCCCGATCCCCGAGAGTGGCATCACCTCATCTCGGTGCTGCCTCGAGGGTGCGCCGAGTTCCCGAGGGCACCTCACCAAGATTTCGTCGCCTTGGGCCTGCCTGGACAGGGATGGGCTCGAGGCTGGGTGCGGCCATGGGGGGGCCTCTGAGAATCCTTCTCGGAAGCCTCTGGGCGTTTCCAAGAAAGCCCCTGCCTTCGGAGCCACCCTCCTTGCAAGAGCGCCCCCTTCGCCCCCCCCCCCGAGATCTCCGACGTCATGATTATTTCAAATCGTGGACCCCCAGAGGTTTGGACCCTTTCCCCCGGACCAGCTTCGTCCCGAGCCGTTTCTCGACGGCCCTGCAGGTCCAGAGAGGGTCCCCCGAGGTCGAGAATAGCCCGCAGACGGCCTCGCTCGCTCGCTCGGCCGTGCATCCGGTGGGACGCGTTGGCAAACTCTGGTTGCGACGTTGGCAACCGAACGGAAAACATGAACTGAAAGTGTACAATGAGTGCTGCAAAACTAAAAAGGGGGGGGGAGGGAGGAAGGCGAGATTGCCTCAGACCGTACACTGAAGAAGCCCACGGCTGTCGAGGCTGGCCTCGTCGTCGATGTAGCGCCCAACACTTTGGTGACCCATCTGGCTCGCATACAACTTGTCGCACCAAGGAGGGATGCCCACTTCTGGAAATCTTGAGGTACGCCTTCTCCTGCCTGTCCAGAAGAACATCCGACAGATGTTTCGCGCCAGCTCTCTTCAGAATGTCTGCGTTGCTAACTCTCGAGATGAACGAAGGAGGTACGCCGACAATGCGTCGTAGACACCTGCAGTGGAAAGCATCAAGGCGCGCCCTGTCTGCTTTCAGTAACCAAACTGAGTCCAATGAGTATAGCAGCTTGCTCACCACACAGCTTGTGTAAATAATGTGCTTTCGCCGTTTTCCAATCGAAGCGTGGCTCCAGAGCTTATCCAACTGCTTGAACATCTTTGTACATTCTCCTAGTCTCCGCGTCAGTTCCGTGGCAACTTTCCCGTCGCAGGTAATCAGTCCTCCTAGGTAAGCAGCTTCGCGGACGGACTTGATTGCGCCCCCGTCTGGTCGTGATATTACGTTGTGTGTTGATATCTGCATTTGTAAAGTTTTGTCCCAGTTCAGTTCCAAGCCGTATTTCTTACCTTCTGTAATACTGGCCAAGAGCATATCTTCCATATTTTGCTTGTGACGCGAAAGTAGAAGTGTATCGTCGGCATAAAGGACATCGCGCGTCACGACATATGCCGGATCTTCTTGTAGATCGAGTTGGTCAAAAGCATCATACAGCATCACGCTCTGTACGATGATGAACAAGTATGGTGATAAAGGGCACCCTTGTGCTATGCCCGCCCGCTGTTGTCTCTCAGTGGAAGAGCCTGTATGGTCCAATATAGCGAAATATCTCGCCTCATACATTGATCTAATCATGGCCACCATATCTGCTGGAATACCAAAACGACCCAAAGCGTCGCACATGCAGTCTGGTTTGATCCTGTCGAATGCTTTGGCCCAGTCGAACATTGCAAGAATCATACCACCATTTTTGTCTTGGTACGCTGCATCGATGATGCGCCGGACCAGCATGAGCGCATCTTGAGTGCCCCTCCCTGGTCTGAAGCCGTACTGAGAGTTTCGTAGTCGACGCTCCGCTCCGCCGTGTAGAAGCCTTCGGCGCAGTAGTGCTGCCAGAACTTTGTAACCCACTGGAAGTAAGGATATGGGCCTATAGTTCGCCGGCAAAAGAATATTCCCCTTTTTGAATAGTAGTATCACGTTCGCGCGTTTCCAAATTTCTGGAATGGCCTTTTGCTCCCAACACTTCTGACACATGTCGAGCAAAACGCCGCACGCGGTTGTATCAAATACCAATACTTTCCAAAAATCCTGAGGTATATCATCTGGGCCAGCGGCTTTTCCTTTCTTCAGCTTCTGAAGTACAGCTTGAAGTTCTTCCATCGTGAAAGCGCCGGTGTTGACAGGAAGTGCGCTGCCCAAGTGCGCATGGTGATTCGGTCGTGTCTCTGGGAATATGTACTCCCACTGTACGTGTTCAAAATAATCTGCCAGTACGTCTGCTCTATCAGATGTGTCCGCCACGGCCCCGTCAGGTCGCTGTATTGTTGCGTGCTGCGTCTTTTAAGGTTGGCGCAAAGGTCGGACAGCATCCCAATTTCCCGTCGCGGTAAGCTGATCCAGCCAGACTTCTTTATCTGTTTTGGCACTCTTGCGGATTTGTTTGTTCAACTTCTGCTCGTTCTCGTAGTCCCCGGCTCGACGGCAGGCATTCCGTTCTGCAATGAGCCCCAAAGTACCCTGACTCGTCCAAGGGCGCTTCGCCCGGATCACCTGGGCAGGCAACGCTGCAGCAGCCTGCGAAAAAGCATGCTGCAGATTTTTTGAGGCGGTTTCCAAATCGGCCGTCTGTTCTTGCTGCATGACTGCGTTGATGAACTCCCCCGCAAATCCTCGCTGAATTTCTGAATCAGCTAAGGCTGCTTTGTCGAATGATTGCTTCTGCTCTCTCTGTCCCGTTTCGAACTCGATGTTCAGCTCAGCAATAAGAAGAACATGTCGGCTGTTTAGGGCGTCGGACCGGCTGCTCCAACAGTCGGAGATCGTGTCCATCAAAGTTTGATGACACAATATGTGATCAATTTGAGAGAAAGTGGAAATCGGGATATCATCGTCCATTGGGTTGATGCCCACGTTCCGGCACGTGATTTTCAGCGAATCGGGATGGTCGTGGAAAGTGTTCGCAATTGCCAGGTCGTACGCCACACACGTTTCCAAGAGTAGTTGTCGATTTGACGCCTGTGCCATGTAATTCCCATTCCGCTGCGCGCCGTGCACGCCAGAGGAGTTCCGAGGAGCGGCATCGAAGACATGAGGCCCAACAATATGTTCTTCCCCAGCGCCTTGTCGCAGTAGCTTCGCATTGAAATCACCAAATACCAGAGTTGTGCTATGTGCAGTGGTAGCCCGGATAACCTTCTGCAGCTCGTGGTGGAAAGATTGTCGCGTCTCGTAGTCGTGGCCGCTGTGAGGCGCACAAGCTGTTACCAAAGTCAGGATCCCATCTTTGATTCGCACTCGGAGAGAAGCTAACCTGTCAGAGCACGCTTTGAAAGCGACCGTAGCTGCCAGGATGTTCGGGCTGACCAAAAAGCCAACTCCAGCATAGGTACGTGCATCCACATTCAAACTGCCAGAAAGAAATACCTTAAAACCATCTCTCATATAGTACTATGCTCCGTGCAAATGTGTTTCTTGAACGCAAAGAACATCGAGGCTACGTTCAACCATGTGCTGGATGAGCTCGTCTATCTTGATTGCATAATCCCCGCGGAGGCCTTCTACGTTCCACGTGCCGACTCGCTCAATCCGGCAAGGCGCGCAGAGCTGGCGGCGCGTATGCCAACCCAGCGATTGGAGAGCCTGTGGAGACGAATGCTCCAAGATTGGGGAAGACGCCGAAACGTGATTTGCACATTGATCCGGCAATTGTGGAGAAAGTCTCGACGATGTCGGCGTTGATGTGCTTTGTGAAACAGGCCTGTCAGATGCAGCGTTGCCCTGGCCTGGCAGAGCGGGCGCGGTGGGAGGCAGAGAAGGTGGAGAAGCGGCCATGGTAGATGATGTTGTATGTCGTTCGTCTTCGGTGCCGATGCCGTCGTCAACGTGGACGTGTACACATGCTGACGGGACTCGCTGGCAAGGAAATGACGAAGAAGAAGTCGGTCTCGAAGGTGGCGTGAATGAAGCTGCTGAGGAACAGGTATCTTTGCCCTCTCCCACAGAAGCCGTGACGGAGGTAACCAAAGGAGTCGGTGGGACAGATCTGTGGTCATCGTCCTGCCAGGTCGGAGTCCTCAGAGCTGGTATGCAAGAAAATGATGTAGAAGAAGCCGGGGGAGTACATGAATATGAAGATAAAGGAAGCGACGTATATTCGTGATATTGCGGCCTGGTAGCTTTGCCCACGCCTGCTGTAGAACATGAGCTCGATTCCGTAGGTATGAGCATGTCGGTAACTTTGCCCAGCATGCATCTAACACCATCCGGCTCAAGCGAAAAAGTATGAGGTGGTCCATCTGCAACGGCTCCGGTGTCAAGTCGAACCAGCCCTGACACCGACCCTGTTTCCTACTTATCTTTACCTTTTGCCGAGCCCTTCATACCCCCGGCAGCTCTTTGCAGGATCGATGTATTTTTGCTGATCAGCTCAACTAGCTTGGGATGCCTCTGAAGTTCCTCCCAAACTTCCCATTCAGAACCCCATTTCAGTGCCAGTTCGGATCCATGCACGGATACGGTAACTGCAATCTCGCCTCCCACATTCACGGTGTACGGCAACTCATCAGTGGAAACATTGATCCTGTAATCGTTATGCAAATCTTCCTTCAACGAATATTTCAAGCCGAAGCAAATGTTCCGCGCCGCACGTACCTCTGGGGGCCGGTCCTCCGTAACCCAGATCTTGGTACCTGCGTGAGCCGCCCCGGACTTGCGCAGCAGCTTGACGGCCAGGTCGCGGTCGTCCTCGCCATTGAATTCCAGGAACAAGAGATTACGGAATTCCGCTTTTGAGTAAACATCTCGTATGGTCGGCGCCTTGACCTCGTCCAAAGTATTTTGCAACCATGTTGAAGCTGCGGAGAAGGAGTCAAACCCAGAAATATTGCCCACGACTGCTGTTACCAACCGTTTACCATCGCCATCAGCAGGCACACGTCTCGAGGAAAGTGGACGGAGGCCAAGTTGTTGAACTTGATGTTCCAAATTCCGGACTTTAGATTCCAAAGCAGACGTCGTCGAAGTATGTGATGCTGACCTTGCCGAGGGCGGTTGTGAGTGGTAATAGGATTCCAGTGCCTCCAGCCTGGTCTTGAATTCGTCGACTGTGCTTTGTAATGGCTCCACGGCGTTGCGGAGATCAGTTTGAGAATCGCCATGCTCTTTGATAGCAGCAATGTCTTGTTGAATAGGTCGCAACTCGTCCTTAATCAGCTTGCTGATGGCGTCGAGGGTTGGCAGACCTCCAGCAGGCGGGATACCCGGCAGAGGAAAAGGAAGAGGATGAGGCAAATGCAATTGTCCTGAGGGGCCTGCTCCTGACGATCCGCTTGTTTTCAGGTCGTCGCCGTCCAACCCGTCCATTTCTTGCAATGGGCTGTGGATCCTGTGCTGCTTGGCCATCAATTGCTTGACCGGGGTACCTGGCATGCGCTTGTCGCCACAAGCGTTTGAAGAGGGCATTGATATAGTGTCGAGGGGTAGGTGAGCTGGAAATGAGATGTACGGAGAGTGTGAAAGGGATGTGCTATGTGAGGACGTCTTGGATTAATCTTGGGGGGGGGCCATCGGCGTCATCCCGACCGACATACCAATGCTATGTGTGCGTCTCCCCGCTCCAGGGGCGACGCGCGCGCGCCGAGAAATCTTTCAGTATGAGCTCCGTGGCGGGCACTTTCTGGCCACACTGCTCGGCGCGCACGTGGGCCCACCCCTTCGGGCGCGCCGCCAGCGATGGACGCCGACTCGCGCGAGCGAGCCGTGGCGTACGAGATGCAGGCTCTCGGCCGCGTCCGCCGCTGCGGGCAGACGGCCGGTCGGGTGCACCTCTGGCGCTTCGTCACCGCTGGCACCGTGGAGGAGGAGGTGTCCAGGCCCGCGGTCATTCAGCAAATGGGCACCCCTCGAAAAAGCCAGACACATACACATACGTTCGGGGGTGGACAGACCTCCTACCCTGACGCGTCAATTGGCGAATTGGCCGTTTTCGGTTCGCGAGAGGGCGTCGCGGCCGTCATTTTTGCGGGTCCAGGTGCGTCGGTTTCGGTCCCAGGCCGTTTTCACTAAGGGTAGGTTCACGAAGGGGAGGTTTGTCCACCGCCGAATGCTCGGCGACAGGCTTTCTGTGTCCCTGTCGCCTGGGCAGCGATGTGCTGTGAGATGGTGGTGCTGTGTGCGGTCCGGACGTGCGCCTCCGAGGTGGGCGCATAGTGCTGGTATTAAGTCGGGCATGCCCCTCTACAGGAGGAACGTGCGAGAATAGTAAACAAAATAGCCTGGGGACGATGTTCCGACGACTTCTGCACTATCTTTGAGCATATTTTGCCCATCTCTCATCTTTCCTGCAAAATCCCCCCTGTAGGGGGACATGCCCGGCCTCATACTAGTACGTCATTCTGCGTTTCAGCTGAGGTCAAGATGAGTACTCCGCTTCGTCCCATACGCTCGGCGGCGCGCTCAGGGGGGACATGAAGTGAGAGGGGGCGGGCCTTCTCAGAAGGTGGTGGGGCTGCCCAGAAGCCCTCGTGCCTTTGAGAAGCCGCCTGTGCCCTCGCAGATGACTTTTAGAGAGCTTCTCAGAAGGTCGGAGGCCTTTTGAACCTTCTGAGAAATCTCGGCCCTTCCTGCTGGTTGCTTTCGGGTCATAACTCTGGCTTCCGGCGGCTGTCCGGGACGATTCGGGCACCCCAGGAACGATCTCGGCGAGGCGCAGCTGCTGGAGAGCACGCCGACCAAGAGCGAACGAAAACTTCCCAGACTCTCCTAACACCAGCCGCCGTGAAGCTCCAAACGCGAAGGAACACTCCCCCCCTGGGGCTCGCCGCCACTGGGCGCCCCCCTTCGTGGAGGCTCCTCGGGCCCGACGCCGCCGCGGCTGCCTAGGGCTCCTCGCTGATTTGCTTGATTTCCACCGCCACCACCATCATAAGTTGGACGGGGGGAGGAGGAGGAGGAGGAGGAGGAGGAGGAGGAGGAGGAGGGAGGAGGAGGAGGAGGAGGAGGAGGAGGAGGAGGAGGAGGGGAGGAGGAGAGGAGGAGGAGGAGGAGGAGGAGGAGGAGGAGGAGGAGGAGGACCCCCTCCCCCTCCCACTCATAGTGGTGGTGGTGGTGAAGAAGAAGAAGAAGAACAGGCCCACCACTCGCGGGGCCTCCGATGGGGGCCCCCACCATCGCTGCCCCGGGAGCCCGGCGCCCCGCTGCCGCGGGCGGGGCGGTTTCTCCGAGCAACGCAGAACAACGGTTAAGTCGGGCCTGAATATTTGGAAGTAGTAAAATAAAAGTCAGGGGGTCATTGTTTGACCGTTGTTGAGCGTTTTCTGTTTTTTCCGTGTTTTCTGATTCCTCGTCCCAAATCCGCCTGTAGGGAGGCATGCCCGACCTAAAACAACGGGGAGGCACCTCCAGCTGCGGGTCGATGCCTCCCCCTCCGGAGCCGGCCCCGGGCCCCTGCCTTCTCAGTAAATATGCTCCTCTCCGCCTCATCTTAATGCTGCTTATCATATCGCTTGCCTTGCTGCACACTGTATGAGTGTAGTTGCGGTACTATCCCGCAGCTGTTGTGCTCGAAGGTGAAAAAGGAGCGCGCCGCTGTGCGTCCGCGCGCGGGCGTCGGCCGGCCGGCCTCCTCCCTTACCATACCTGGAGTACATATGCTTACCGGTTACGTGTCTTATCGATGTCTCATCCCGTACCCTCTACCACTGAGCAGAGTGAACGTGAGATCTTGATTCTTTTGTCATCTTACCCCGATTCTCAGAGGAAGGACGGGCTATCAGCCGAAACCCGCGACATAGTCGCTACGGGTATGAGCTATGATGAGACATATGAAATGTCCGTCACTTCGCGAAATGCTGAACAGCAAGTTGTACAACGCGACGGACAGGAACTACAGGAGAGCGGCCCGGGGCAGGGCCGCCTTCCTTCTTCTAGCTAGTATCGCCACTCGGGTCTCACGGGGAAGAAGTAATGAGAAGGTCGTTGATTCGTCGGAAGATGGTTCTCCCTCTGGAGTTCCGATAGGTGACCGCGAACAAACCCCAGACCCGCAGGGACGGAATGGCATAACAGCAAGAACTAGACGCGGAGCGCTCTCGTCTCTGATCGCTGAATCCTCGGAAACCATAAGGTCTAGCCCGATTGCTACACAGACAATCGTGCCGGCCGCTGGCCAGGCCAGTGGGTCGGGAGAAGCTCACGAGCCCACAGGCGTGTGCCCCAACGTCTCAGGCGGATGGGGAAACACGAGCGGGACTCTTCCCATCCCAATAGCATTGAACGGACAGTTCGGCCAAGATAGTGACGAGACACTTGATAGAGAGCATGAATTCCATAGAGGAAGATTTTGAATGCGCCAACAAAGGAGTTTCTTTGAGCCGAGAGTTGTCCTCGATCGTGAATGCGGACCACCCCGCCCAAGGCGAGAGGTGGTCCCCATATGGTTCAGACGTTGATACAAGTGACCTGACGCCTCAGGCGGTCAGGGCTGATACCGAACATCAATCTCAGGCGAAGCACGATGGGGGCCCACAGGACGGACTCCCGCACCTCAACTGAAGAAGCAGAGGAATGAGGATTACGATTTGAACGATTCACCGCTTCAGGAAGGATTCGATCGTTCTGCCGTTGCCTCAGGCGATTGGCAACCCTCGATACCGGCTGTGGCTGAGGATGAAGAAATGGTTGAACATCCAGCTTCGCTTAATGAACTGATGAGACAGGATGAAAGAAATGAGGGGCTTCGGGAAGTACCAGAACCGCCAGAATGCACGCGCGCGCGTCCTAGATCGAACGCTTCGAGTAGGGGGGGGCCCAAGATGCCAAGGTCAGGAGCTCGATATGCTTCAAGGAGCAATAGTACTATATCCATGCTTGATACATGCTGGAACTGGGGCCCCGACTGCGCGCCACAGGCGGAGAGCAGATGCCCGGGGAACGCCCGCATGCCAGGTGGAGCTTGTAGGCGTCCAGTGTGTAAGAATTACTCGGATGTGTGTCCCAACTGTAGCAATCAATGGTTGTGTGTAGATTGTCTTCCCATGAGTGAGCATAACTGCACATTTCTTCTCATGCGAGCCATGCAGGATCAGGCTAGATTTGTTGAAGCTAAGACTCAGCAGGAGTTCCTGACGCGCGAAGCGCAGAGGGCCGAGAAGGCTCGACTTGATCGAGAAGAGATGACTGCAACCATCGAGGATGTTCGGAAGACGTTCGAGGCTGAAAGACTCGCCCTGGCCAAGGCTGCCAGGGGGCGGGAACGAGAGTTGGCGGAACAAGTGCGCCATCAAACCGTGGTCGCCAAGCGGCAGGCGGAGGAAGAAGCCGAACACCGATATGCCGAGATGATGGCTTCCGAACGACAGGCCGTTGTGGCGGCGACTGGCCAGTCTGTTGATGCCAAAACCGTTTTCGCTGCTGTTGCGGTGGCTAGAGTAGAAGGAGAGGAAGTTGCTATAGCCAGGGCACAACAAGAAAAACAAGAGCTCCAAGAGCAACTCACAATTGCCAGGCTGGAAGCATCTAATGCCCAAATTGCAGCCGCGACGAGAGTTGATCCGATAAATAAGTAACGAGAAGACCTCAGAGTGCATGAAAATGCCAGAGCATCCCTTCAGTATGTGCAACTAACCGACGTCGCGCGCCCATCGGCTAAGCCGATTGGGGAAAGGGAGCGAACGTTGCCGGCGGCTCAGCCGTCGGGCATGTTGTCCTCGCGAGAACAATTGGATGCGAAAACCATGGGAAGCGTGATGCCGACTGTGCTAAAAGTGAGGGCTGCGAATCAACCGCAACCCGCTAAAGGGGCTGATGAAGAACAGTGTTCGGTCTGTTCGAACCCGAAAGTCGGGGACTGCGCCACTTGTGGAAAGCCGGGCTGCAACGGCCACTTTGACGCGAATACGAAAAGATGTTCGAAGTGCACTCAAATAAAGAGTTTGCCAGCTGAGCAGGAGAAGTGGGACGAGCAGTGGAGCAAACGCAGTGCCGGCAACGACTTCCGGGCTTTGCAACAAAAGCTCCTGGACGAATGCAGTGCGCAGAGGACGAAGGAATAAACTGAGGAACAGACTCTTGCACCTGCAGCTGCATCAGGAAGAGACATGATGGAACTTCAAGCTGTCATCACTAGGCCCTTTCCACATGGAGAAACAGAACAGGGCAAATTAATGCAGTCGAATTCGTTTGAGATACCTCTACTCTCGCAGGATGTGCCCACAAGACCTGCCATGAAACCGCATTGCACTGTCCCCGGTCCTGCAATCGAAGGCCCGGCCAAGCCTGGTACATCCGAGCATGGTATGCCGAGCAGGATGAAGCTCGCTGGTGAGATTGAAGGAAAACATATGTCGATTATCATCCGCTCTCCAAGGGCGGACCTGCGAGACCGCCACCGGCTCGGCCGCTGGGCAATGATGAGGATCGCGCGCCAGCGGCACAGGCGCCGGGCGGGGCGGGGAAGGATAAGGATGGTGATGACAGTAGTATCGCGCCGAGCACTGACACTCTATCGGCACTAAATGATGCTTTTCGCGATCCGCCAGAGAAGCCGCCTCCCGGGGGTCTGGGGGGGCCTGGGCCCCCAGGTGGAGGAGGCGGTGGTGGTGGTCCGCCGGGCCCAGGAGGGCCGCGTGACCCGGGGGGTCTGGACGAGAGTGCCCCTCTGGATCAATGGGGGCAAGTTGGAAACAGTCAAAAGGTCGATCTGATGGGCATCCCCGATGTTGCAAACATACGGGAGTGGCAGGTGCATGCCGTCCGAGCTATTGCTGGATCGTCTCCAGGAATTCAAGCAGCACAGCATTGGATCATGGAAGCTATAGACCCTGCCGTGGAAGACCAGCAGCTTAGAAATGCGGGTTGTTTCCAACGTCTTGACCTCATGATCGCCGCAAATTTGATGGAGAAGTTTACAGGGATGCGAAAGGACCACAAGTTACCCAATCATCGCATTCACTTTCTTCAACAGATCGGTCGAATGGACTTCGGCGCCCAGGCTGAGGAGAGGCTCTTAACAGGGCGCGAAATGATACGAGCCATTTGCTATTGGTGTTCTGTTAGATCGGAGTTGGGTCAACGCCGCATCTCGCGTGATGTGTTCAAGGTAGTCATTGACCCCAATCATCCTGATGTTGACTTGTATCATTTCTATAATGAATGAACAGATGTTACCAACAGTTATATGGGGTTCGACCTCCATCTGACGAGATGCGAGCCTCGATTCATGCGCGCTTCATTGGGCAGTGTGTGTAGGAAGCCCAAGAAGTTAGCTTTTGCTTGTCAAATTTATGACATGTCCAAAGATAGATTGGGAACATGAGTGAAATCCTATGGGTGGCTCATGAACGATATTGAATCATTGATGTTACGTGATACGGAAGAATGGAACATCACTGTGCATGAGACTACTTCGAATCAACGTGCTCGGCAGGCGCGACTGGGCGGAAGTGGAGGTAACAACAATGACAATCGTCGAAACGCCAGCGGTAAAGCCGCTCCGGCAGAGGTAACAGCTCGACTATGTAAACCCACAGATGACATGAAGAGCGGATCGACTAAGGGCGAGACAACGTGCAAATATGTACGTAAGGGCCAGGCCTGCCCGTGCGCAGGACAGAGTTGCCCTTTCAACCATAAGAAGCCCAAGGCTGCCGCGCCGGCTCAGCCGGTTGCGGGAAATAAGTCGAACGCCGCGCCAGCCCAAAACAAGAACCCCAGAGGGGTATCTGGAAAGCCCGAAGGCCAGGGCCGAAAGGGGCAGAGCCGATCGCAGACCTCTACGGGGGCTAGGGGAAAGGGGGCGCAGCAGAGAAATCGGAGTAAATCCAATCGATCGCGCGGGAAAGAGAGCAAGATATCACGTTGCGCTTATTCACGAGACCCCGCGAACTGTCGCGGACCAGCAGATGGCTGCTATAAAGAACCATAGAGGATTGACTGATGCTGAGAAGCTGAAGCGCGACAAGTACGAACAAGCGAAGCTTGATTCGGGGCAATCCCTTGGGTACGAGCGTACTGTTAAACAAGCCAATGCCGCAGCCGCTAATGTCTCGTCGTCAGCCGGCAATGGTGGCTCGAGAGCCTCTAGCAATAACTCCGAGAGACGTAAGAAAGACGGAGACAAGAAGAAAGGCAAAGGCAAAGGCAAATACATGATCTGCCGTTCTTTCAGGGACACAAACAAATGTTCGCGTGGCAAGGATTGTTGGTTTGCCCAGACCACACCTGGTCATCCGTGACATTGGCTCCGCACTGGCGGCATAGCCGACAGTGCAGGAGGGATGATCGATCTGATTTTATTAAGGATACTCTTTCGTGTCTTCCTTGTTCGACGGATGCGGCGAAGTCCGCGTCGGTCAAACCGAAAGCGGGGGGGCCGGAAGATATCCACTGACCAAGTCAGCTCGGGTGCCATCGCGTGCCCCGCCCCGTTGATTCGGGGCTTCCCTGGGCAGAAACAGGCCAGCCTTAAATTTTTGAAGGCCTCTGGAGATGCCAGCGGAGGAGTCTACGGGAATCCTTCCGGTGGAGGGTTTCACCACGATTGCAGGGGACCGGTCGAGAACCTTGTCCATATCCTTGCGAATTTCCTGTATCCTCTTTCTCGGGGCGCTATCAAGAAGTGCTGGAGCGTCCCCGCTAGTAAGAGTTGCATCCGATCTCAGACGAAGGGTCGGAGCGCGCTCCGTGTCAGATTTCACCCCTCTACCGAGGGGCCCGCCATCGCTTAGAGGAAGGCGCGTCGCCGCGACTTGAAGGAGTTGCCTTCGAGTGACAAAGACAGGTGGAAGTTCCCGGGGGAGATGCGCCGACAGATGTCTACTCAGTCGAGGGCGTCTGCGGCGGAGGCCCTAATCAGGGCGTCAGACCTGCAAGACGAAGTCTGGCACCTCTGGTTGAGGGCGGAGGAGGTGGGCGAGGACTCACACGGCACAGCCGCTGCGGGATGCACAGATATGGATGCTGCCTATCTTGGAGCGCTGAGCTTTATTATAGATACAGGGTGTGGGTATCATCTCATAGCGGAGAGATATATCAGAAGTGCAGGTGCAATGAGATTGGTTCGGAAGCTTCCGCAATCGATCGCTCTGAATACTGCTGGGGGAGAGTCAAAAGCCCTCGGTTCAGTTTGCGTCGCGTGCCCTAAATTTAAGGGTGGTAGTTTTAACGCTTTGGTCATGCCGGAGACTCCGTGCGTGATTTCCGTAGGAGAGCGGTGCATGGATCGCGGCTTTAGTTTCTTCTGGCCAGCTGGCTAAAGACCCTACCTACTGTTGCCCAACGGTCAAAGAGTGGACCTGATCGTTGAGGGCAAGATGCCATACTTGACCCTTTCAGGCAAAGAGGCGCTGGGTCAGTGGACGCGTGCGGTTGCCGCTGGGGGGGGGGGGGGGGGGGGGGGCCTCCCGAGCGGTGGTGTTGCGTGACGCCAGGCGCCAAGGCATTCCTGGGCAATGTGGGATCTGCGGGGGGCCCTCCGCCCCGTGCTGTCCAGACTCGCGTAACCATAGACCTGCGTGCACATGAGTTGTTTGGTGCCCACAGCTACGTTGACGGACGGCCGACTGAGATCGCGCCCGTTTTTCCGTCCTCATTAGACTCTGCGGATACTATCACTTATTTCTATTATTCGCTTCGAAAGGCTAGCGACAGCGGTTGGAATCGGACGCCGACCGGCATTGCTGCCTCTAAAAGTCTGTCAACTGTGCCCTGCCACGGTCAAGCCGTTGGACAGAACGGCGAGCAGCCCGGCAGAGCCGAGGCCTGCGCAGCCGCACATATGAGCCCTCACTGGTACGGGGTCTCAGGATACCTCCCCTATGACATGGATCGAGGGTTGGGTTCCAGTGCGTGCGACGCGGCCCCTGGGCCCAAGCTATCAGAAAGCAGCAGCGCAGAGCGCAACATAAAAGGCTGAAGGTTCCCCGCCCATGCGCTAACCCCACTTCGTTTGGGCACCTGACGACGATGGACCATTGGTTTGCGATGGATGAACTCTCGCGGGGGCTCCATGATCAGACCGCGTGCGTGACTTTTCGCGACCGAGCAGCGGATTTCCTTGCCGCTCAGGGTGCACACGACAAGTCTGCGGTTCATGTTTGTAACTTTTTAGTGAACCTTAAGGCCCCGGAGGAGAAGTTAGAATACTGTTATGCAGATGGTGCACGAGAGCTTGCAAGGGCATGTTACGAGCTCAAGATTGCACGTGATCCTACCATCCCAGGAAATAAAAAAAAACAAAACGCCGTTGCTGAACGTGCAAATGGCGTGTTCCAGATGGGAACTAGAGCCTTGCTCATGCAGGCCGGTCTTCCGCCACCATATTGGACTTGCGCCGTCCGATACTTCTGTCTTTGCTACAAGACTAGGACCCTGAGGAGGGGCAGTCATGTTGGGAGCGACGTTTCGGATGTAGGTTTGAGGCGCCGCTTCTTCCCTTCGGGCCCCTCGCGCGCTATGTGCCCCCGCCTGAATCCAGATTTTGGACCGCCAAGACTGGCGCAACGATGATTCCAGGGATATACTTGGGGTATGTGCACAAAGCCGGGGGGATCGGTTGGACCAGATAGTTATTATGTTGTGCCATTGAGACAGCTGGGTGGACTTAGCGTGGAATCAGGGCGTACACCGGAGGGTAAACGACCCACCATTGAAAAGTCTCACCAGGTATAAGCAACATCTTGGATGGCACAGCTGAAGATCGATCTCCCCAGTTCCATTTGAGAAAAGCGTGCGAGAAGGCAAGGGCCGAAGTACGTTCCGTTACGATCCCTCCAGCCGGAGAAGCTTCGGCCGCCCCAGACGGACCACAGCCAGCAACAGGGATACGATCGGACAACTTGTTTGATGCAAATGATCCTGCTGCTGCCATGCCACCGCCTTCCCAAGGAGGCGAGGGCGCCCCGCGCTTCGACTCGGAGGCCGAATTAGAAAATGACGGCCCTGGTGGATTGTGCGTGGACGACGAGCCCGTGGTAGTTGACGGCAGAGATCCACAGCGAGATTCCCATCCACAAGATAAAAAATCAAAAAATGGGACTCGCGCAAATTGAGTATCGTTTGGATAGACAATCGAACTTCTCAGCGGCTAAGCCGCGTGGGCAGGTCCCCGGGAAATGTCAACTTCTTGCTCGAACAATTCAAAACTTAGGTGCGATGGGATACTTCGAAGATAGGCGCATTGTTGCCGGTATGACAAAAGAAGAATTAACGCAGAAGCTCCCATTGACGGCTCGAAGAAAGACATGTAGCATTCGAGTTGTTCTTTCTTACCCAATCCACCAATCCTGGGATCCATCCTTGACGATGGTTCAACATGAATCAAGCCCAACGTCGGCGGGCTGTAGAACAGTTCAAGGCAGAAAAGAGATGATTTTTCTGTATAGAAGATCCTGGTCCTTGTCTTGGCCTCCTGCGTGATATTGGCCTAGATGTGGATGATCCGCCGACTCCGCCCGAACCCGCAGTGGCCCAGCCACTTGCGGCGCATCCTGAGGCAAGGCTAGCCGCGCCATGGGTGGCTGAGAGACTTCGTCGCTTGACGGCGCAGGGTGGCCAAGCCGCAGCTGTGGCGACCGAATCCTCTGAGGGGGGTGATTCCGACGAATATCTTTCGGATGACGAGGGCATTTGGTGGAAGCAGACGTGGTGCGGTGGCGCCGTGGCACGCGGCGGGGTTCCCTCCGGCCCAGCCGGCAGGGGCCCATTATCCGATGATGAATCTGAGGATGCACAAGAGGCAAGCCTGGCCTTGAGTCCGGCGGCCGCCGCGTCGCGGCGAAGCGTGCCTCGAATGCCGTTGCAGAGTAGCTCGGCTTCAACACTCAGCCATCGTATAAAAGAAATATGTGATTTACCATTTTTTACAACCCTTTTATTGATCTTATCTCAGTTGTCGACGAGCCCTTCCAACTTCCCAACGACTTGCAACGTGCCGAGATTGATGCCGCGGTCGCGCGATCTGCATGGAAAGACGAGGCCAAAGCGAATGGAGACGCCCAAGCTGCCTTGAGAAAAGAATGGGATATATTGCGAGACATTGATTGGCACGTGGAAAGAAGAAGGCGTCAGATAATACTCTGGCGTTGTCGTCGAACTCAATGGACAGACGGCGCACTTTGGCCGGCTGTTTGCGATGCTCGTTGAAAAGAACTCGGAGTTGCCACTAGGACATAAAGATCGTAAGTACAGGGGTCGGGTCGTTTTTGATGGTTCGAGTGTGAGAGATCAGAATAAGGATGTGGCGTTGTTCCAAAAACTTTCCAGCAGCCCCGCTACAATGCAGGCTAGCAAAGCAGCTGACACCTACGGGCTATTTGAGGGCCATAGTATTGAGCAAGCTGACGCCCGCCAACCCTACGCTCAGTCAAGGTTAGGCGGGGCCCCTGACTTGGGCATTTCTACCCCGCGATGAATGGCCCGAGGAATTGTCTCACGTGCTTAATCCCGTATGCCCGCTATATCTCTCGTTGTACGGACATCCTGATTCAGGGGGATATTGGGAACAGCATTGCGAAGGACATGTTACAGCAAAAAGCTTTGTGAAGTGTAGTCCGTGGCGTAGCTGTTATTTCAACGAGGAAGTGCAACTTTTCCTGATCATCTATCTTGATGATTTCAAGCTGTCCGGTCCTGCAGACAAGCTTGCAGAGGGATGGCAACTACTACAAGAACCCTCTGAAAACTGTCCCAAGGGAATAGAGATAGACCCTCCGACTGCAATTGGAAGATATTTGGGATGTGAACGTAGACTCTCGACACAGTGGGTTGAATGGCAGGTGACTCGGCGGCGCAGCCGTCCGAGCCATACCAACCGAGAGGGCCGAAACAAGCCAGAGTCATAGAGTATGACATGACCGAATTCTTGGATTCTTGCGTTGCGTTATATGCTCAATTAGCGGACGCTGATCCAGCTACCTATCCCGCTGCAGGTGCCCCATTTGGGCCAGAACTAATTGACCTCGAGGATGGCCAAGGTGGCCCCAGAGGCGAAGTTTATTCTCCGGCAGAAGAGGCCATAGCATCCGCGATGCAAATCAAAATCGACGCGGGGCCCCCTGACCAGAAAGTAGAAGTTCTTGGCCTTGATGCCGCAGCGGCAAGCCCCAATGATCCAGAGCTGCCGACGCAGTCGGGAGTGCTTCAGCCCATCGCGGCGAAAGTCTTGATGAAGATACTTTACGGTGCAAGAATGGCTAGATATGACTTGCTTCGTGCCGCGTGTCAGACGGCCAGTTGTATTACCAAATGGACTGAGCAACAAGACATGGAATCTTCCGCCTCATCTGTTTTATCAAATGCACCTCTCACTACCGTATGTCTTCGTGGGTAGGTGATAAAATGGGGGATGTCTTGTTGAAGCAATACTCTGACGCGGATCTAGCAAGTGACATTCGAACGCATCGGAGCACAAGTGCCAGCTTCCAAGCCATATGGGGCCCATGCACTAGAGCTGGACAGTCCATGGGATCGCAACGACAGACTTGCGTTTCCCGCGGCGCACTTGTGGCAGATATTGTGGCTGCTGACCTTGCATTGCGAAAAGAGCTGCTTGCAGCTCTACCGCTTTGGGAAATACTGCTGGACAGACAGGTGCGATGTTTGTTCTTAGAAGATAACCAGGCAGTGTGCAAAGTCATCAAAACGGGCGGGTCAATGAAACTCATGCGCCTACAGAGAACGCATCGGATTGATGCTGCCGCTGTGTCTGAACAATTCTCGGGGCATTGTCGAGCTCCAGTATGCGAGGGCCCGAAATAAAGCTGCAGACATTGGAACGAAAAGGTTCACTGACCCTTTGGCTTGGGTTAAAGTTTTACACCTTGTCAACATTGTAACTCCCAAATTCTGGGCCGCTAAGCGGCGCCAGGATTATTTAGAGTCGATGTTTTCTGACGGACTTCCCCTGGAACCCGGGTGGATTTTGAAGCCCCGCTATAGGTCCTAGTTCGGCCTTGCGGAGAGGAGCTGTGGCACCTAGCAAAAAGATGAACAAAAAGAAGAAGCGTCCCAATAAGGGTAAGCCCGTTGTGCGTACATCAAAACTAATAAATATCCCAGCGGCGCCTGGTGGCGCCATCTACCCGACCGGAACTATGGCCGCCCCCGGCAAAGCCGCGGTGGCACGCGCTCCCAGCAAAGCTGCGGTAGCGAATGCGCCCGGCCAAGCCGTGAAAGCAGGTGCAATTACTCCTAGAATGACCGAAGGAGGTTGCAGCAGAAGCTCCGAGAAAACCAGAGCGGTGGAGGAAATGACCAAGAAAAGCTCCGATCGTCAAATGAAAGCAATGTTTGACATGACTGGCAGCGGAACTGAGTCAGATACATCAATCTTGCCAAAAGAACTATGTGAAGGATATTCGAAAAATGAGCCAGCCAGGGATGCGGAATAAATACCTGGTCACAACCCTCTCCCCCCTCATCTTCCCCCTGC